CAGGATGTGCAAGGCCGATGTGGAGGGACCCAGGGGCTTCCAGCCCATCCTAAACCTTCCATGGCCACGACACGGGGCCCTTGGGAGGATCCAGGCACTGCTCTCAGAGCCCTGTGAGCCAGACCAGGGCTGTGGGGTGGAGCGGCCGCCAGGTTAACAGTCGCGCGTGGCCCTCCCATGCCAGGAAAGGCAGGACATGGACTTCCCCTTGGAGCTGACACTTTTCAACCCAGGGAGACCCACGTTGCACTTCCAACCTCCAGAACTACCATCCACATGTGCCCTTGTAAGTCGTCCAGCTCTTGGTGATTTGTTATAGCAGCTGTGGGACACTCAGACCACTCCCTGTACCTGATCTGTGGCGTCGCCAGCTCCACTTCCCTTGCTGGGACCAGTCTAGTAGTCTGACCAGCCTGACTTGCTTCTCACTGGCTGTGGGACCTTTTATCTGAGACCCCAGAAGTGTTCACCTGTGCAGTCGAGCTGGCATCCAGGCACCACCGTCCCCATGAGCTTGGGTTAGGGCCACTCTTTGGGGTACAGACCTGCCCATACAGGTGACCTTGTTGGGTCATGGCCTTGGCCCTCAAGGGGACAGACACACCCTTGCCCAATCTTCAGCCATGTACTGGCCCTTCAACCCCACTCTGGTACAGCATGAGTGCCCAGCTCAGGGTGGGGCTCCACTCTTCCCGCCCCAACAGGCTGGTCACTGTTGAGCAAGCCATGCCACAGTCCAACACATGGTGACGCACAGGTGAGCCAGGTCCACACAGCCCGCCAGGCTCAGGGCTCAGAGAATCTGTCCTGGGACCCAACCACAAGGCCCCCCACGCCACCACCCCTGGACCAACCCACCGAAGACACTTCTGGGCTCAGCAGCCCAGGCCAGAGCACACAGCTTAGGCAGAGAAGGGTGGCCAGCCTCAGACCCGCACACCCTGTGTGGTCACCCTTATGAGGTCACCTTGTATGGAAACCCCCGTGAGGTCACCCCATGTGGATACCCACATAAAGTCATCCCTGAGAGGTCTCCCCATGTGGACACCCCCATGAAGTCACCCCCGTGAGGTCACCCCATGTGGACATTCCCATGAGGTCGCCTTCTGTGTGGACACCCCCGTGAGGTCACCTCTTGTGTGGACATCTCTGTGAGATCACCCCGTGTGGACACCCCTGAGATGTCACCTGTGTGGACAGGTCTATACCCATAGGGTGGCCCTGGCCCAAGCTCATGGGGATGGTGGTGCCTGCACCTGGGCCCTGGGAAGGACGGGTCCTGGGAGCCCTGGGGAAGTGCCCTTGAGTCCCACCAGAGGAAAGCTGCATGTGCAGACCCCTTGACCTGCTGTGGGGACAAGGCACAGCCCTCTCCCACAGGCGACACGCAGCAGGGAGCTGTGAAGGCGCCGGGACACATGCAGCCACACACCACGCAGCCATGAACTTCCCCGGGTCCTATCGCGGCCCTGTGACTGAGGGCGAGTGCCCCATGGCTGGGAGCCTCCAGCCCATCAGTCTACCCTTCTGCCTGTCCTGCTGGCAGTGCCTGTCCTCACAGTTCCCCAAAACCAGAGCCTAGGAATGTCAGAGACATGAAGACAGAGGTTCAGAGAGGACCCAGCCAGGCACAGAGCTCCCTTGGAGAAAGGTCTGTTGTGGCGTGAGGTGTGTGCCCATCGGCCATCTCCGTCACCTCAGGCGGCGAGGGGCCTCCACTGCCCGGGCTGCATTTGCACTCAGAATGCTGAGGCCAGGGGCGGCTGCCTGTGAGGTCTGCTCGCCATCATACCTGCCCCTGGCTGCTCCCCTAGACCTCTTGCACCTGCCCCAACTCAGCCTGGCACTCCTGACTGAGGCCCAGCACTGGGGGTGCATCCTGGCAGGCGTCACGCCAGCCAGCCATCCCTGGAGGTGGCCAGGGAACACTGGCCAGTGGCAGCTGTCCAGGCCCAGCAGGCGCCTAATGGCCCATGCAATTTTTCATCCCATGTTTTTCCAATAAAGGAGCAGTCAGACGCTGACCACAGAGGCGAAGGCCATCTGGTCGCCCGCTCCTAAGGCTTCTGGCAGCACCACCACCACCAGCTGCCAATGAGGAGCCCGAGCTGTGGCCTGCGGGGCGGGCACAGTGGGCAGGGTGGTGGAGAGGTCTCCCTGCCTGTCCATCCATCTGCCCACGTGGGGGGACGTTCCCAGGGTGTCTGCCCCTTGACCCAGGCAGAGCCCAAGGACGGTCCCCGCAGAGTGGCGCCTGTCCCAACTCAGGCCTGGCAGGCATGGGAAGAAGACACCCACAGGCCACTGGCCAGCAGGGTGGGAGCTGTGCACGTCCCACCCCATCCAGGTGTCATCCTCGGCCCCCAGCCCCGGGTGGAGAAGTGCTCACTCAGCCCAGCACCAGCAGAGAGTGATGGAACCCAGGCCTCCTGCTCCCCAGACCCGAGGATAGGGCACCGTGGTGACAGAAAGAAGAAAGGTCTGGGCTGAGGCGTTCCTGGTGTCCCCTGACAGCCTGTGGTCAGTGCCTATGTGGCCAGAGGGCTGAGTGAGGCCATGCCAGGCACCTCCCGTCACCTGGGAACAAAAGCCAAACCTCCCACCTGGGCTCAGCATGGGCTCAGTGTGGCCACGGTGGGGTCAGCTCTGTGGCCTCTGGCCTCCATCTCATGTCCACGTGGGACACAAACACCTCTGAACATAGTGCGTCACAAGCATGGAAAAGGCATACTCAGGTGACAGGGAAGTGGCCTGTCGAGCTCCTGGCCCTGTGGCCTCGGTGTTCTAGAGCATGGCAGCTCCCGCTCCAGGCACGCAGGTGGGTCTCCTTGCTCTCCCATCATGCTGTGCCCTGATGTGCAGATTTGCCCGAACTCCTGGCAGCCCAGGAGGTGCCCTGTCAGCAGGACACTCGGTGTTGGCGGAGGCTCTGGGCTCCCTAGGTCTCTCTGCGCTCCTGGCCTGGTCTCTGCTGAGGCCTGGCCCTGGCACCCCCACGGCTGCCCGTGATGGAGCCGGGGCTGCTGCGTGCGTGGTAGGGCCAGGGCAGTGTGTGGATTGTGGAGTGGCTCAAGCCCTGCTGGGCATGGCCAGCCCGGGGTCCGCAAACAGCCCTGGAGGAAGGCTGCAGCCAAACCCTGCTGCCTGCTCAGGACCGCCGCCTGCCCCGGGAAGCCCAGGCACCTCGGCCTCCCTCCAGTCCATCTCAGAGAGAGAGGCTACCAGCCTGCAGGCTTCACCACTGGTGCCAGGACTCTTCCAGCCCGAGCTCTTGTGGTTGCTCTTCCTGTAGCTCAGACCCAATGGGGGCCACATGGCTGCAGACACAGGTCTGGGCAGTGGTCAGGATCTGGGCCAGGCATCTGGACATGGACTGGGGGACCAGCGGGACGGGTGGGGGTCAATCCCATGGTTGCTGGGCAGCAGAGGTGTCTAGAGCCTTGGGCAGCCTCCTCCACGTGGACCTGCCCTGTGGGTGGTGGCTCTGTCTCATCTCCAGACACCCCCAGAGATCCCTACCCCCACCAGAGCGGCCTTGGCAGGGGGTGTTTCCTGAATGGGTTATGAACGAGGGCGGTGCGGAGTGGTCATGCTGGCCCAGTGCTATCCAGGTGCCCGGATCTCCCTTTCTTAATGAGACTGGGACAGATGGCACTCCTGTCATGGTGCCACAGGGCAGATGCTTAGGGCTAGCTGGAAGGCACCAGGCAGGGCAGGGGGCTGCACACGCCCTCAGCCAGGCAGGCACACTGGGACAAACGGGCTCAGTGCCCACCAGGGCGTGTCCCAACACTGTCCAAGCACTGTCCATCATAGGGCAGGTGAGGAGCAGGGGCACTGTGGGACCCCACGGCTGGAGGCAGCACAAGTGCCCAGACCCAACACATGTGGAGCCTGGCACCACTGGCCATATGGTATGCACACAGCCACTTCCCCGGACCTTTTAGGCTGCAGTGAGTGAAGAAGCCAGAAGAGACCCAGCCCCCTAGTTACCATGGCGACTTACCTGGCTGTCCTGGGGTGCCCACCGACCCACCCACTCCTCCTGCCCACCACGACATTGGCTCTGACACCCACAGTCCCTAGCTGCAAAGTCCCACAGCTCAGTCAGCACCTGCCCAGGGTGTCTCCAATGTGTGCCCAGATACAGCCATGCCAGAGTCCTCTCACCCCCTGCACCAGGCCCCTTTGTCACGCCCGGCCCAGCACCACCCCTCTTGGTGCTCTGAGGCCCTTGGCTCATTACAGAGGTGGCAAAGCATGGTGGGCACCAGCCAGGATGCCCTACTCTCGCATCCTGGCCTTGTCTCCTCAGCCCTCGGGGGGTGATGGCTCCTTCCCACAGGGCTTGGGGATAGGCTGGCACCCTGAGAGCCAGTGCCAGCGTCACCCTATGGTGATTGCCTGCCCCTGACCAGACATGGTAGTACCCACAGACCCAGCTCCGGGCAGTCGCTGCCCACCCTTCTGCCCAATGCACATGTCATGGACCGTGCCCCGGGGTCAGGGCGGGTGCTGCCTTAGTGCTTACTGCGAACTGGGCCCAGGGCATCCCAGGGGATTCTGGGCAGAAGGCACGTCCGGGAGGAGGAGGCAGCTGCTTAGGTTCTGAATCACCCGGGCCACAAAGCCCTGAGTCAACGGAGCCTCTGCCATTCTGAAAGGCACTGAGCTGTGAGGGACACATGCCTCTTCCTTTTGGTCATGGCCCTGTGGGAAACTCGGCATCTACCGCTTCTCTCAGGGTACCCAGCCATCTTGAGGCTCAGGCCTGTGTCCTCTGCTGCCCGGGAGCTGGGCTGGGTGTGCCTGGCTTTGTGCTGCCCACACAGGGTGCCCTCCCATCGGGTACACCTGTGCCCACCAGGGCCTGTGTCCTGCCACCCGGGCACCATCCCCCCTAGGCAGCCCTTCCACCTGGTGCCCCCACCCAGTGAGGCTGGCCAAGGTCAGTGGGGGCAGGGCCATCCTGGCAGAGTCCAGGAGATAGTTGGGCTTACCTTGTCATCCAAGCCACTCTCGCTGTCACACTGCAGGGACAGAGAGAGAGAAAAGTGAGTCAGAGACCCACACACAGTTCAGTGCCACCCACCTTGATGCAGTGACGGCCAGACTGTGAGGGACACGGGGTGGGGGCATCCCCTGCCTGATGCTGGGAGGAAAACATGCTGGCCAGTGGTTAGAAGGAACCCGGGGACCGGGGGTGCAATAGCTGGACCTCGATCAAGGTCCTTGGGTGGACAAACAGGGACATAACTAGGCTGATTCACCTCGGGGGGGAACCATATACCCCCAGGACCAGGCCCTGCAGCCCTGAGAGCAGGCCCACCTCAGAGCAGTGGGTATTCCAAAGGGATCTGTGAGCCAGCCAGGGCCAGGTAACCCGTGGGTGGCCTCCCCTGCCCAGTACACCTACTGTCCCCGGTGACCCCCCTCAAGCCCATCACCCAAGTGGAGCTGAGTAAGACCCTTGGTGAGAGAGGAGGGATCCGGCCTGCCGCTTGGGGCACCCTCGGGCAGTGGCACCCAGGCTGTTCCACATCCCAAACACTTTGCGAGCAGATGGATGGGCTGAAGGGAGGGGCCGGATGGCACCACATGGGCTGGGAAACCCCGGCTGGGCACCCCCAGCTCTTTGTTGGGGGAGGGGCCTGGGACCCCCTGAAGTCAAGACAGGCTGGGGCTGAGGAGGGGCTGTCCCTCACTGCATGCTCAGAGTTAGAAACCCAATGTCCTGATCAGACCTGTCTGTCAGCCTGGTTAATGTGAGAAAACAAATCTCTCTCTCCATCTCCAGTAAGTAGAGCTTTACAAAGAACATACCACTGTGGGACCCTCAGCAATTTCCCCTCAAAGCATAAAAAGGAAAAAGGTCCTTCCTAGCAACTGCAATTAGGATATGCTCACGCCAAGTGAATTACATGGCTGAGAACAAATCTTGAAACGCAGGATATGGTCGGCTCAGGCAGACATGTGCCCACGCTTTTATATGCTGTGCTCGACTTGACTGATAGAGGTAATCAAATTACACCACCTTCCACATGCCCAGATCCAAGACTGCCATGTTCCCAATGCCAAGGTTCACAGAGTTGTGTAAAACAGCCAGAGAGTAGTCCACGTCCCAGGCAGGCCTTGCCCACTGGGGCCCGCCAGGAGCCCTGGGGAAGGTCAGCTTGTGGGGCTCCCGTGAGGCTACCAGGCCCAGATCTCTGTAGCCCCTGCCTCGCCTCGTACTGCCCTGGTAGGCTGAACCCAGATCCCTGGAGGGTGTCCTATGCCCCTGGCCAGGCCACACCCCTCCTGGGTCCTCTGGTCTATGCTAGGTGGAGGCCTATGAGAAGAGGGTCAGTCTCTGTGGGGCACAGTGGGTGCCATCATACCCACTCCTGCCTAGCTGGCCCTGTTCTGAGGCACAGATGTATTCCAGTGCAGGGCGGCATCCCTCCCTGGCAGGTGGCCTGCTCATTGAGGACTGGGCTACAGGAGGCCAGTGTGCTCACCAGCCTCATGGCCCTGGGCCCCTCAAGGCCTCAGTCTCCCCAAGTGAAGTGGCAGGTCTTGGGTTAGGTAAGAAAGTCTATAGAGAACTGCTCAGCCTCAGCAAAGAGAGAAAGCAGAGACAAGTGTGTGGACAGGGGGATGGGGGAAGGGGGAATCAGACACTCAAACCCCAGTGACAGCTCCTGGGGATGTCTGCCACCTCTTACAGCTTCCTGGACTGTGCCTGGGCCTGTCCCGAGCTGGGAACAGAACACATGGTGGAGATGTGGCTTTGGCCTGGCTTCCTGCTTCTCAGGGGACAATGGGGGAAGTCACATCACCTCTGAGCCTCAGTTTCCTTATCTGCAGAGATGGCAGTGCACTGGTTCACGATGTGGCCACTGACAGCTTAGTGCTCAGCGGCGGGCCAGCCCCGAGAGCAGGGAGGGGACCCAGGGAGGACCCTGGAGGGCTGGGAGGAAGGTGCTGGAAACACGCCAACCTCTGCTTCCACCCCACCTGCTGACCTGCCGCAGCCCAGGGGCTGGGTTTCCACGGCTGCGGTGCACAGGCTACACAACTGCCTGGGGCAGGGCCTGCCTAAGCCCTCCTCACCAGCGGGAAAACAAAACCCGTTCTGATGGCACAGCCACCCGCAGAGGCTGAGGAACCAGGACACTGTGGAGCGGATGGCCCGGCGTGGGTGAGGGCCCTGCCTGAGCAACCAACAGCGCGAGAGTCTGTGCTTGGGAACAGCCAGTGCTGCAGCCCACCCCCAGCTGAGCACTATGGCCCACGTGGCCAACATGCTCCACGTGGTCCTACTGGCATGCCTGGGACGTGGGTTTCCAGGCAGTGAGAGGTTCCAGGTGTGTCTGTTCTGGGAGTTCTCGCGGCCCCCACATCTGTGGTGTGCAAACGTGCCTTAGCGTGTCCTGCCCAGTGCCAGCACGTCCCAGGTGTGTGCTGGTGCCCAGCCCCCTCCGTGTGCTATGTGAGCATCCTGCCCAGTAAACGCATCTACCCTCACAGGCCTGCCACGGGCACGCGTCCCCCAGGTGGTCAGGACTGTGCGCCCACAGCCAAGACAGCTCTCACACCGCACCCGTGAGTTCTCAGCCCTGCCCCAGCTCCAACACGGCTCACTGGGTTGGTCTGGGGATCTGGGGAAGCGAGGGGGCCTCTGCCTGTGCACTTGTTTCCAGGAGGCAGAACACGTGTCAGCCACTAAGGTGACACGGCCACACACGAGGTGGCCCGGGGGAGCACCAAGCCACGCCTGGATGCTCCCGGTCATCCAACCACAGCTAGTTTAGCACTTGGGCTTGGGCGTGTTGACCGGTCACCTCCATCCTGTGCCCTCAGGCGTGTCGTTAGCACCAGGGCACAGCCAGCCCAGACCCCGCCTCCCTCCCCTGAACCGCAGCACCACACCGCAGGAGGGGGAGGGGGAGCTTGAGGTTGGGGCCATTCCACGCAGCCTGGCAGATGCTGGCTGGCCTCTCACAGGCAGGGGCCCAGGGCTGCCGGCACGGGAGCCCCAGGCCCAACACACCCGGTGTAGGTGAGGTGCCCCTGGCCTCGGCCATCCATCTGCAGAATGTGGAGGTCCCCGGAGACGACTGACATCCGAGGGGCAGGGCCGGGGCTGGGGTTAGGGCTTGTGGGCTGCAGGTGGGGGTGGAGGAGCCCTCCTGACCTCGGGGAGGGCCCGCCGGGCAAGGCGGGGCAGCGGCCAGCCCTCCAGGAAGCTTGAAGCCCGGGTCCGGGTGCGGATGCTGCAACCAGCGGCCCCATGATGGCCCAGCAGGGACCAGGACAACGTGCGAGAGGGCTCTTCAGGCTAAGGAGGGCCCCAAGTCCTGCACGGCATCCCTGAGTCCCAGGGGAGGTGGGCAAGAAAGGGACCGAGCGCGTGGTCTGACACGGCATGGCAGCCGGAGGGGCATGGGCATGGAAGCCACAGCATGGGGAGAGGCGGCCTGGTGAGGGTGGGAGACGTGAGGACAGGGGTGACAACCTCCCCGAGGGACGAGGCTGAGTTGTTGGCAGCAAGGCCCTGCCACCCGCTGGGCCACAGAGCGGGGTCAGGATGAGGAGGGCGGGCAGGCTGGTGGTGCGAAGGCTGAGGCTATGACTCTGAGGTGACCCTCAGGGGGCTGGAGCTAAGGGGGCGGGAGCCTGGCAGGAGGGGCCTTGGTCAGCTGAGGGGGGCCGAGGGGACAGGGCCTGGTGCTGGTCACCCTGCCCTGGAGAAGGGCCTCCAGCCCACTTGACCTCTCACCTCTCTCTCAAACCAGGCCTAGGAGCAGACCCCCTGCACCTCTGAGGCCTCTCCTCTACCTCTCCTGGGGTGAAGAAGACAGGAGCCCTCAGGGCCTGATGTTTGGGGTCCCGGCACATTGGCCTCCAGCAGGTGGGGGCCGTGGCTAGGAGCCCAGGGTGGCGAGACACCTCCACTCAACCTCCAGCACAGGCCCGCCTGCTTCCAGATGGGAAAATCAAGGCATGAGAGGGTGGGAGCCCACCCAGGCCACAGGAGGGGGTGCTGGGCAGGTCTGACTCCTGCCCAGGCCCGGGAGGCCCCACCCAAGGCAGCGCCGCCCATGGGGTGTGGGCACCTTCCTTTCTGTTGTCCTGGGAGGTAGAGGGGCCGTGGCACCTCACTAATTATGCAAGATAACCTGAAACTCCATTCCTGTTTACTAGACTCATTCGATTTTAGAGTGTTTAGACTTTGAAGCAAAACAAAGTGCTAATTAACCAATTGATGAACAATTAAGTGCCACAGCCTGATGCCTGGGACAAGGTCCCAGGGCCTGTCCAGGAGAGGCCATCTGGGTCCTGCGTCATCAGACTAGGCAGGGGTCTGGGCCCTGCTGTACCCTCGGGGCCACTCTAGCACAGCATGGCAGGCAGCATACCCCAGGCCTGGCCCAGCAGAGCTCCAGATGGCCTTGCCCGTGTCCAGCGCCCCTGGGGGGAGGTGGTGAGGGTGAGGTGCCCACAGCAGTGCACCCTTCCTCCACAACTATGGAGACATGGCTGCAAGGCCTGCAGCTTCCTGGGCAGGGGTGGGAACCCAGTGGGCCCGCCCTCAGGGTCACCCGTGGCGTTTCCGGACCTGCCCTGAGAGCTGTCCTAAGGGCCACCTGACAGCCTGCTGAGACCCCCGCCCAGTGCCCCAGCGGTGAGGGAAGACTGCAGGAAAAAGGTTCCCTCCTCTGCAGCCTCCAGAGGACCCAGAACCCAATGCCAGCTCCTCCCCAAGCCCAGGGGACCCTCCCCAGACCCAGCCCAGGGCCCCCACAAATCCCTAGGCCACACACAGTGGCTCCTGTCTAGAGCCCCACCTTGTCCAGCACTGATGTGAATCTGCTGCTTGTCTGTCACCACCAGTCTTGTCCTGCTGAGAACACCAATCCCACAACCCAGGAGCCCACGGGATCAGTTTGGCAGAAAGGCAGTGCCCAAGCATGTGAACAGGCGGATGAGTGGATCACCTGGGCTCTGGCCTCTGTAGGGCCCAGCCCCACATCCTGGCACGAGG